CGAACGTGAAGTGATATCTTACTTCACCAACCCTTCTTCCTAATCTTATTTACCAGTTTCCCCACTCCCATACCTGCTCTGTGCCCAACCAAAGTGAATCTCCTTCCATTTTTTTTCAGTGGGGCTCCTTGGTGTCCTCAAATAATGCCTTTGTTCATACTTTGAATGTGTTACTTGACCAGATATTTTTTTTCAGGGGAGAGGGGATGGAAATTGAGAGATCAAAATTAGTAGGAGTACAGAATGCCTTTGACTTCTCCACAACGTGGACAAAATTTCTCCTACAAACCCCACCACCATACCTTTCCAAACATTTTGCCTGCCATCTTGGTCACATGTGACCTGGATTAATCCCTAAGTCTGGGCTGTGGAGATGTTTGTGCTTCCTCAGGGAAGAATGCTGTGTGAACTTAGAAATTAACAGAAGGAGAAATGACTACCCTTAAAATTGTCCCACAGAAAGAAGTATGCATTCAAATGATGGTAAAGTTTTGTTACAAAGACTTCAAGCCTCACAGTTTAGAAACTGGCTTGTGGTAGCCAAGAAATCAGAGAATGATTTGTTAATTAGGATTAAAATTGCTAACAGTCTTGGATTAATTACCATCAAAAAGCTGCTGCTATAATAAAAAGCAGAGATCTGGTAATCCTGCTGCATTTCCTTCCTCTTGCTGACTGCCTTTTAGTTATTTTAGTTTTGATTAGCACTTCCATCAGAAAATAGGAAGAAATTATGAGCAACTTATTTGGCAAAGGTTTAGTAATTAAAACCATTGAAATCAATGGTTTAAGTACGTATTAAAGATTACAGTCGCACTTTTTAATCCTTATTTTTGTCATGCTCAAGTAGATAACATAAACTTGATTATACGAAAATCAGCCAGCGCAGAAAGCCCACCGGGAACAGCCATTCTACACCCTTTGTAAATGTATGCCCGATAAATTAGTCATCAGGTTTCTTCTTATGTTGAATTGTTAGAACTTCCACTTATAACAGCAAAATGATTGTCTGCAATTTCTAACTTACTTCAAACTAGGCTTTAAATTATGAAGCTTAAAGTATGCTAAAGTAACTCTGAGTACTTGAGTAAGCACTGCATTTTTTATGATGAGGCAAGTCATTTGAGCCATTTAATGGCTTTAATTCAATCCAGAGATTTCATATTTTCTCCTGAGTTCTCATGGTTGGACAGTTTAAAAATATTTCTGAGATTGAATTGGAACCTGTAAGAATTATGATGCCATATGTCAGTCTGTATTTTTGGATAGTATTAGATGAAATTTGCCTCAATAAAGAAACATCCATTCAATATGCTTCAATTTAAATGTTTTTTAAAAGCTATTTGATTGGTTTATTTTCATGGGGAAGCAGTGTTGTCACAAAATTTTATTTTGAAGATTGAATTGGCTATGAAGAAGTTATACCATCCCAACTAGAAGAGGGAATGGAATGAATAATCAGGAAAAGAGAGACTATTGATAAATGATCCTTAATGAAGAATCATTGAATTTCAGAGTTGCCAGAGATATTAGCAATTATTCAGTTCATCCCCAGATTTCTTAGATGAAGAAGCTGTGGCAAGCCACTTAAATTCAGTGCCGATTCCACAAACCCAATCTATGCTCCTCGTGCTTCCCCCTCCCCTCCCTCTCAGAAAATCGCCTTGATTCCAATTTCATAGAGAAGTGAGACACCATAGATATGAGCATACTGAGCTTCTTAGGCAGTCCTGCTATCCCTATCTACAAACCCATGTCACTCCCTCCGTTCCTCCAGTCTCCGAGGGTGATCCTCTCGTCTATTCATACTGTGTCCATTTCTCTCTGGTACATGTCAAACCAACCCTTCCAGGTCCCTGCCTTCTCTCTCCTGCATATGCTTTCTGTGTCTTCCTCTCCATTGCCTCTTTTCCTCAGCTTATCAACATGTTCAAAATTCTCCTGCCTTTATCAAACCACACACATACACACACACACACACACACACACACACACACACTCACACATCTGGACTTCCAAGTAAGATGACCTTGTAGATTCATGTTTTGAGATCTTGTTTAGTCCATAGAATATAAAATCGGTCAAACGATGGTAAGCATGTGCAGATGACAAGCATTTGCAGAAATGGTACTAAAACAAACCATGAAGCTGAAGCTGCAGGACTGATACATTTGAGTCTGGAAGGCAGAGGCCGTCGAGAATTCAGCTCCAGTAGGAAATGGGCTGTGTGAGTGCACTCCATAGATCCACAGAAGAGAAAGGAAAGAGTTACTGCTCTTTACTGCTTGGAGCTGAGTCTTCTACAAAACTGCTTAACTAAAGGCAAAGGAGGAAGCAGATACTTCCTTGCAACTAGAACTTGAGCTAAGCTGATCCCTGAATCATAAATACCCAACAAAATTCTGGATTCAGACCCTAAGGAGTCAGGAGGTGCAACTACAAAACTTCTAAATGTTGAGGAAAGAATAGTGAGAAAGAAAAATAATCTCCCAATGAAAATGAAGCTACTAAACAAAATTCCAAATCACATAGATATAATTATTACTAAGAATGATAGCAATAAAATGAATAATCAGGATACAAATCATACATGTAAAGTTAAAACAAAATAATTTGAAGAAATACTTACAATAGGTACATTTAGGACCTTAAAGAGATACGGAAAAGAAAAATATTCATAAAATAAGAATGACAAATTTGGAAGAACATACAGAAATGAAACAGAAAGTAGATAGGAAGAAGAATAAAGTAGAAATACTTGAAATTAGAAATATGGTGATTGAAATTAAAAACTTCACAAAATAAACTCTAGACTTACACAATTGGAAAATTGGTGATTGGGAAGATGGACCAATTCATTTACTCATAAAACATTAAAGAGAGATGAAGGAGAAAAAATACATAAATCCAAAAGCACATTTAAGTGACATACAAGATGATTTAAAGGTTCCAACACATGTCTGGTAAGTAAAGACAGTAGAGATAGTATAATAGAAGGAATAATGAAAAGGATAATGGCTGAGAAAATTAAAGAATTCATAAAAAAAAGGACAGTGGCCTCAGATTGAAACTGCCATGAAGGTCTCTGTGGCAACTTCTCAACTCTTCCATTGTAGCATGAAAGCAGCCAAAGGCAATATGTAAATGAATGGACATGGCTGTGTGCCAATAAAACTTTGTTTACAAAAACAGGCAGGCAGCAGGCTGAATTAGGAATAACAGCTGTTTACATTTTGATGTCTCTGTCTCCAGATGTTCTTCATATATACATATATGTATGTGTGTACGTATATATGTATGTACGTGCATTATACACACACAAGTGATTTTAAAAGAGATCATATCATAACTGAATCACACATAACTTGAACCACACTGCTCTTCTCAGCACCCACCTTTGGACAACTCTGGGTATCCATTATCATATCTAAAAAAAAAATTCATATTCCCAAAAGACTGATGAATGATAAAGATTTTAACTATAGGTTTTGAGGGGCAGTGGAGGAAGTTGTACATCACGCCACCCGATGTAAAGCTTTTTGAAAGTCCCATTCGCTCATCTCTACTTTTCCCCACTCGTCATCCCCCTGTAGCAGGCAGCTGACATTCACCTCTCCTTTCCACCTTCTCTCTCAGCACAATTCTACAGCCACACTGGCCCTTTGTCCCCTCCCTCATCCCAGCACTAAAAATGCCCTGAGCCTACATATCCCAACCACCCAGCAAAACAAAGCACCCAGTAACTACAGGCTCAGCAAGAGAAAATTCCAGGTCCTAGCCATAGGCAGATCACCTTATCATTTCTCCAGCACATTCCACGGAGGATCTCAGTTCATTCTGTCCCAATATACCTCTACATTGTTTGTGATGATCACATAGTATTTTGTTGTATACATGTACCGTTATTTATATAACTAAGCCCCCAATTTTGAACAAGAGGCTACATACTGAAAACCTTTGATTGACTGAGTCTTTGTTTCTCACAAATCCATTCGATACAGTTGCATTATATCAGCCAATACAGTTCATGCAACTGTGTGCACAGCAAATTTTCAACATAAACTCTAGAAGAGTATTTTATCAGGGAAAAAATTTCTGTTTTTGAAATAGTAAACAGGTTTTAAAAGAAAAAAAATATGCAGAAGGCTAGAAGTCAGGAAATTCAGGTTATCAGGGTCTGGAAGGAGATCTTTCTTTCTTGTGTGACTGTAGGCAGGGTCCCCAGGACTTTGTGGATCAGTTTCTCAAATAACAGAGATGAAAAAATTGTCATTAGCTTTTGTCACAAAATAGTATGATAAACCCCTACATTAGTTTCCTGTGGCTGCAGTAACACATCACCACAAACTCGATGGTTTAAGAGAACAGAGATTTATCTTCTCATAGTTCTGGCATCCAGGTTTCTGAAATCAAGGTGTCAGCAGGGCTGCATGCCCTCTTTTCTTGCTTCTTCCAGCTTCTGGTGGCTCTAGGTAGTCCTTGACTCATGGCTACAACACTCCAATCTCCGCCTTTTCTGCACAGGGGCTTCTCCTCTGTGTCTGTGTCTTCTCTTCTGTTTCTTATAAGGACACTTGTCATTGTACAGTATTTAGGGTCCACATGGGTAATCCAGGATGATCTCATTTCAAGATCCATACCTTCATTCCATCTGTACAGATCCTTTTCCCAAATAAGGTAATGTTCACAGGTTCCGGGGGCCAGGATGTGGACATACCATTTTGAGGTCCACCATACAACCCATTACAATATTCTTTGTAAGTGTCCTGAAGAGCCAGGAGGAATAAGTAAATCCTTTGATTCAGTCAAAAATGAGAAGAATGTGAATCAAAAATACTAGAAGATATCCTTTTTCCTAGTCACTGGCATCCATTTGAATAATTTCTCTAATTTCTTTTCACATCTATTTCCATTTTTAAGTGTTAGCAATGAAGGTTATCATGACAAATTTAAAATTTATTTACTTATTCTTAAACCGCTATTTTTGTGTTTTTTTTAAGCAGTCATCTCGGTCAATGTTAGAACGATCTGAACAGCAGATTAGGGCTGCTTCTAGTTTGGAGGAACTGCTGCGAATCACGCACTCTGAGGACTGGAAGCTGTGGAGATGCCGGCTGAGACTCAAAAGTTTCACCAGTATGGACTCTCGCTCAGCATCCCATCGGTCCACCAGGTTTGCGGCAACTTTCTATGACATTGAAACCCTAAAAGGTAGGTGTATGGCTGTGGAGGCAAATCCTTTTTTTTATCAGATGGTGACAAACGCACCAACTTCTTCCAAAAGTTTGAGTAGGGCAGGCACGTGTCAGAGGGAGAACAAACGGGAGTCATTGATTTCATAACTTTGGTATTAGTGGAGAATCCTGATTTTTTTATGTTTATTCCAAAGAGAAATATATTCAATATGATTTTGAGATTTAAAAAACACCAACACAAAAGAACACTTCAAAATATAGAAATAAATTTAACTCAAAGATGTGGGAGCAAAACAAACCCAGAAAGACTGTTCTGAATAGAAAATAAAATCATTGGGTTTGCTTAAAAAATAAAACAATCTAAGAATTCATCCATGAGGAGCATTCTATTGCCATACATGCATAGATAAAAACCAGTAGATTTAGGTATAGCTTTTCATTTTTCAAGAAACTTTTTCTTTTCTTTCTTTCTTTTTTTTTTTTTTTTTTTTTTATGAGACAAGATCTCGCTCTGTTGCCCAGGCTGGAGTGCAGTGGCCTGATCATAGCTCACTGCAGCCTCAAATTCCTGGGCAGTATAGCTTTTTAATTCTTCAAAATTGTGTGATTTTTAATAAAAGCGAAAAGTAGAAGTTGGAAGCTGAGTTGTAATATTAGGTACTGGTATTACTAAGAGAATAACAAAGGGAGAAAATACTTAAGACAAAATGATCAAAACTCCAGACTAGAAAACAACATAATTTGAAATAAAGGGAATGATTTTTGTCTCGTAAGGTGATCGCTCTTTATAAGAAAACCGGTGTATGTATGTATTGTGCCTCAATGCATGAAATGCTTGCCAAGTAAAGTTGTGTGGCCTCTGATTAGGCATTTAACTTTTTGAGGACATGTCAAAACATACAAGAAGCTACCATGACACTGATGATCTAGCATTCTACATTTGATTAACATGATTAACTGGTAACTGATTATATGTATCATGTAATCCGAATCAGCCACTAAGCCAAGATTCTTTTCTTTCTACCTAGAGTTGACTATATTTTTTTCCATTTGTAAATAAATGATGATGTTTCACAGGCCTCTGTTGTTGGTTGTGGAGCAGGCTGTGCATAGAGGCGAAAAATCTCTCGGCGGCACCACGAGCATGAGTGTTCATGTGTACGACTGTGTGCAAGTCAGTTGAGATGGTGGGAACCATGGTCTCAAACCCACTTCAGCCAGGGGTTTGAAGCTCTAGTTGTTTCTATGTGGTGAATTAGCATGGGCTTCATGAAAACAAAGGGGTGCGACTCATCTGGAGGTCAAAGACCTTAACCAGATTACCTGTCTGAAGGCCCAAGGTGAGCCTGGAGAAACTCTGTGAAGACAAGTGTTACCATAAAACCAAGATCAGGTGATCTAAAAAAGTCGGTGACATTGACATTTTCTAAAGAGAAAACCATAAAAAATTATGGAACTTGTGAACTCTAAAATTTCTCTCCTAATTACATAGGGGACCATCTAAAGTTATTTATTAAGTTAGAAGCAGTAAACGATCAAATTAATGTTTTACACCAATTATAAATTGTTATCAACTCTCCCTCATGGATTTCAGGGTAATTCCCTGAGGCAGAGCAGTCGTGTTTGGCGGTAGGAAAGAAGAGTTATGAAGCCTTTAATCAGTGGCCTTGGCCATAATTGCATACAGTGTTGATTAAAATGTTCCCATTCTAACTTTCAAATCTTAGTTTTGTAAAAAAAAGAAAAAGCAAATGGAAAGCAACACTTAAGTAAAATTTTAAACAGGGAATATTTTCATAAGTTGGTTACTTTTTTTTTCAAGGATTCATGATTAATAATGGTGAACTAAACAATATCCATATTAATACTTAATTGAGCAATTTATATCTCGTGTGTACAGCCTTCAGAAATATTCATAGCAAGAAGTTTTAAAAAAGGTTTCTCAGGATAGATTGTATTATGAAGAAAACAAAGTTTTGGTAAATTGTGCAGTATAAGGCAGTGCTCTTCAGCCGAACAGCTTGTATTTTGTGTTTTCAGTGACTGAAGAAGAAAATTGAGATATGAAGAAAATTGGGATTAAGGGGTAGAAAAGGAAAAAAGATATGGAAAAGATAGTTTAAAGGAATAATTTTCAGGCTAGGGTAGATCTCTAATAGCAATATTATATTGGTATATTTCAAGCAGAGGTCCTCTCTATCCCTTCCAGTGAGATATGTTTACATATATGGGAATTCAGATTAATCTAGGGAAAGTTTTTTGAAGATGGGGTAAAAATGGACAAAAGTTTGTCTATAGCTACATAAAACATCTCCAAAACTTAGCTGCTTGAAACAACATTTTTATCTCACAGTTTCTATGAGTCAGTAATGCAGACATGGCCTAGATTTGTTTCTCTGCTTCAGGGTCTCTCCAGAGGCTGCAGTCAAGAAGTCAACTTGGGCTGCAGACATCTCAAGGCTCAGCTGGGGTACAATCTGCTTCCAAGTTCACTCAGTGATTGTTTGCAGGACTCAAGCCCTTCCTCACAGGCTATTGGACTGAGAGTCCCAGTTCCTCACTGGGTGTTGGCCAGAGGCCACCCTCAGTTCCTTGCCATGTGGACTTTTCCCAGGGAGAGGCGAGCCTGCAAGAGATAGAGACTGCAGTCTTTTTTAACCTCATCATGGAAGCGACATCCGTCACTTTTGTAGTGTTTTCATAAGAAGCGAGTCACTAGATTCAGCCCACACCCAGGAGGAGGAAAATTATACAGGGGTGTCACTATGAGGACGAGGGATCATTGGGGGTCAGTTTGGAAGCTGTTGACCACGAGAAATTTTCACCACCCCACCCCAACATATAATAAACTCTACAATTCGAGTGTAATGGAAGATGGTGGACTAGAGAAATCACTTTCTGGACTGTTCCGGAGGGAAAGAAGGACTTCAGATAAAGGAGCGAGGAGAGGGGATGCAGCTCAGGTGAAGATCATAGAGAGAAGGGCCGGAGCCTGCCAGGGACCTCACAGAGGAAAATCACGAAGCAGAGAAGGAAGAGAATAAAGGAAAAAAGATATCAGCAAGGATCAAACCCAGAGAGGCTGGGAGCCCAGTGAAAGGGTAAAGGGGAATCTCTTTCTCCTCCACCCAGTTCCTTCAGTGATCGGTGGGCTACCAAGTTACTTGAAGACTTTTCCATTCCCATGAGCTCAAGCACTGCGGCAAGCATGGAATTGTGGGGAGAACTTGCATGATCACAGAGCTTGGACATTCCGTGCGGGAGCTCCCCTCCAAAGAGTGACCTCAGAGGCCGGAGAGCCAGCTTTCTTCCATTCGGACGCTTATCATTTCCCACCTCTCCCCCACCCACTGCAACCGGGAGAGCAGTTTGAGCTGAGAAGTTGGTAAGCAGTTGCCCCCTGCCACCAGATGACACGTACTCTAATCTGCGGGTTTCACAGAGAGTGGGGCCCACGCCTTCCCCCTTGAGGACCTGCAGTGGGCCCAGGGTGCCTGATCTGGGAGCTCCTTGTCCGCCAGCCTATTGTGGAGACACACGCCAGTGGGTCAGATACGCAGACTGGATCCAGTGTTCCCTGGACTTGAGCAGGTTGCTGGGGGACACAGGGCGGAGGTTTGAGAGCTGGACTGGGGAGGCGAGGGAGCCTATGTGGGCAGAACTGATGGGAGAAAACTGTGGGGGTCTGAGATGCTGCCATCTGGGAGAGCACTCATCACCCCCACAGGAAAGCCACACTGTTGAAGTAGAATGGCTCCTCCAGTGGGAAAGATCCCAGCCTGGGGCGCCATTAACAACCAAGCATGGCACAATCAGGCGCCCAGGATGGAGGGGATTTGCAGCCTCTCCCCCACTACCAGCCCTCGTGGTCTGGAGAACCTGCCTTGACTCTCCTTCCAATGGCTTTCCCTAGAGACCAGGAAAGTAAACTTGGTGCCCTGCTGAGGCTCAAAGCAGCGCTGTTGGACTAGGGCAGGTCTTCTGGTGGGGAAGATTCCAGCACGGGGTGCCATAGCAACCAAGTGGCACCTGGGCCATTGGGGATTTGTGGCCCCTCCCCTATGCACAGCTCTCCCCGTCTGGAGAACCTGCCTTGACCCTCCTCCCAGCAGTTCCCCCTAGCAGCCGGGAAAACAGCCTCTGAGCCCTGCTGAGGCTTTGCAAAGGTTCACACAACCTAACCACACTGGGCCTTGCCCTTGCACCCACTTCTGCTATGGTGGGGTCCAAGCAACCCCCTTGGAACTACAGGGCTCCACCCAAAGCCTGGGGGCATTCAAGCACTCCACCTGAGGGACTAGAGCTTATCACAGGCACAAAAGAACATCACAGCAGCTGGCTGGCTCTGGTAAGCATCAACCACTGACAGGGAGAACAACTCTGTATAGGGAGAACAACTCATTTCAGCATCTAGCAACTCAAGACTGTGGCAGATTCTTACTCCCAAGTATCGACCACTATCTCGGAGATTAAACTGGGGGTCCCAGTGCAATTCATACTACTGGGAAGAGGTGAAGACAGTGGGATAGAGGCAACCCGAGTGGATATTTTTTTTTTATAGGAGGGAAACAAAAGTTATAGGCAGCTCGATGGGTGAGGGGTCTCCCTCTTCCACTGCGGACCTCTGGGATGATTGGTGAGCTGCTAAGAGTCTGTGCAGTTACATTCCACTGAAGAGCAGGTGCAGCAGAGATCTGGTGCCTGCCGATTCCAGACTTCTGCAACTGATGACATTCTGATCACTCTGGTGCACAGAGCCAGGTCTGCTCAGGACCCAGCCATCCAGCAGTAACCTTTGCGTCACTCCAGCTGGGCTAGGGAGGGAATAGATGCTCCCCCGTGTCAAGCCCTATGACTGAGGGCTGAGCACAACTCCTCTCTGGCATGGGAGCAGAACACAGGAGGAGCCTCAGATGCCACTGGCACCACTTGAGAAACCTGGGGCAACTTCCTCAGTGGATCCTAGGAGTGGAGGGAGAACTTCAGCTGACCAGCAGCTCCAGCCCATCTACATGG